CCAGGGGGATGTATGCTTACCAGAGTGACTGAAAGAGAGAGCATGAACAAACCCCAATGGGGTGCGGTCACGTCGGCATCCCTTCTCCATTTCTCCGTCCTGTCAGATTTGGGGCATGCAAGCACACATGCCAGGCTTGTACTTCAAACCTCCAGGGCCAGGACTCAAACTGGGGTTGGCTGTATGGGACCTGACTCCCTGTACACAAGCCGTAACTGCTGTGCTGCAGGGTTGGCCTCTCATAAACACACCAGGAGTTAATCATGGGGGTCCCACCCTGATGGCCTTAATTTTAATCTCTTCCCATAATCCGACTGCATTGTTATGCTCCGGATCCTTGTCACGACCGAATCTCAATTTATGAATTTGGGGGGATATACAAGAAACCAACCATTGCCTAATACAAGGTTATAAAAATGCACTCCTATGTACTCTTCTACGAGTTTCACAGTTTTGTCTCTTACATTCAGATCTTCGTTCCGTTTTGGGTTAACTTTTGCATATGGTGTGAGATTGAGGTCCAGCCTCATTATTTTGCGTGTAAATATCTGGTTGTCCCAACATGGTTTGTTGAAAAGATTATTCTTTTCTCCATTGAATTGTCTTTCTTTCTTTCTTTTTTCTTTTCTTTCTTTTTTTTTTTTTTTAGAGATTTTTGCTATAGGGCGCATGTACTCACCAGAAAGACAGAGAGAGACAGAAAGACAGAAAGTGAGAAATCACCCCCCATGGGGGATGGCCACGCCACAATCCCTTCTCCTCCATTCTCCTCTCAGGATCTTGGGCACGCACGCACACGTGCCTGGCGTGAGTTTAAGCCACTGGGTCCGGGACTGGAGCTGCGGTCAAGTACATGGGAGTCCAGCGACAGAGCCATTAAGCCAATTGCTGGTCCCTCCATTGAATTGTTTTATTGATTATAAATATGACAGTTTATTTGTGGTCCCTCAGTCCTATTCCGTTGACCTCCATGTCGATCTTTATGTCTGTCAGTACCACATTGTTTTAATGACTTAAGCTTTGCAGTAAGTTTTGAAATTAGAAAGTATGTATCCTGCAATTCTGTTCTCTTTTAAGATTGTTTGGCTACCCTAGGTCTTTTGCATTTTCATACACGAATTTTAGGATCAGCTTGTCAATTTCTGCAAACAAGTCCGTTGGCTTGTGAGTGGATTTCATTTGATCTAGGGGACGTCTTTCATTTACTTAGCTCTTACTTCTTTCAATGATGTTTGTAGTTTTTAGAGTATGTGTTTTGTACTTCTTTGTTAAGTGTATTGCTAGAATTGTATTCTCGATGTTATTGTAAATAGAGTTGTTTAAAAGATCTCATTTTGGGCTTATCCACTGCTACTGCAGTAGCAGAGCTGCAGCTGGTTTTTGCATACTGATTTGATATTCTGCAGCCTTGCCCAACTCATTTAGTAGGCCATGTGTGCCTGCGCGGATTCTTCCGGATTTTTTGGTATACAAGATCATGCTGTCTGCAAATAGTATCGATTTCCTGTCATCGTTTCTGGGAGTTGCCTAACTGCCCTGGCTGATCCTCCAGTGCCTTTGCACCCCTAATTCGTAGGTTGTTCTCGATTATGAAGGGCTGGATTTCGTGATCCAAGTGCTTTTTTCTGAGAAATTCCATCTTTTCGAAATGTCCCAGGATTCTCTACTCATCCTTCTGACGGTGAAAACTCAAATGTGGGGACCAGCAGTTAGCGTAATGGTTATGTTGCTGGACTCCCACGTAGTCAACCCCACGTAGTCGACCGCGGTTTGAGTCCCGGACCCGGTGGCTTAAACTCACGCCGGTCGCGTGTGCGTGCCCAAGATCCCGAGAGGAGAATGGAGGAGAAGGGATTGCAGTATGGCCATCCCCCCTGGGGAGTGATTTCTTGCTTTCTATCTCTCTGTCTCTGTCTGTCTGGCAAGCGCAGGCGCCCTATAACAAAAACCTCTCAAAAAACAAAAAAAACCAAAAAAACAAAAACCCTCAAATGTGGAGGCAAAAAGTAACTTGCAGGTCATTGCCCGGGCCCTACTGCATCACCGCTCTAGGGAGGCGTTTGTTAAGCGATGATATTGTCGGTAGTTGCTCACTGCTCCTCCGGCTCTGAGCGCTGTGGGAGAGCAGTGCTGGGCGCAGAACCCCGGGCCCCTGGCGCTCACTGCCGCTCTGCCCCCAGGCCTACGAGAAGCGCTTCCCCACCTGCCCGCAGATCCCGGTCTTCCTGGGCAGCGAGGTCCTGCACGAGTCCCGCAGCCCGGATGGGGCGGTGCACGTGGTGGAGCGGAGCTGCCGGCTGCGTGTGGACTCGCGGATGCTGCTGCGGAGGGTGGGCTGGGGGCTGGCGGAGGAGGGGACCCGATGCTGGGCGGGCACAGAAAGGCCGGTAGCTGGAGTCATCCGGAGTTGGGGACGGTGTGTGTGGGATGGAGTTTGGAGGGAGAAGGGGGATGGGGTCCAGGTGGAGGCGTGTGGTCAGGCGTCTCTGTGAGACCTGAGCTGGGTGGGCTTTGGGGCGAGGGACCTGGGGGTGGGTCCAGGGGTGGGTCCAGGACTGGAGGTGACTGGGACTGGCCCTCCTGACCTGCTCCCCAGCCCCCCAACCCCACCCGCGTGCTCTCGGCTCTGCCGTCCCCTTCCTTCGCAGATTGCCGGCGTGGAGCACGTGGTCTTCGTGCAGAAAAACGTCTTGAACTGGAAGGAGAGGACGCTCCTCATCGAGGCGCACAACGAGACCTTCGCCAGCCGCGTGGTGGTCCGTGAGAACTGCAGCTACACGGTGAGCCGCCCTGGTCCCCTCCCCACCCTCCCAGGGCAGTGCGGGTCGCGGGGCGGTGCCCGTCTAACTTGCGGGTCTAACCGCAGCGCGCATTTGTGTGAGTATATTCCAGATGCTGCTTGGATCTACTTGTACCGGGGTTTGTGGGGTTTGTCCTTTGTCTGAATTGCAAACGTGGCAGGGCACCCTGCCGGGTACCTGCTGTCTGGAAGCCCATCCCCCCTCCCCTTTTCTCTCCCGCCTTTCCTGAAACAGAGCCTTTTCCTCATCTGCAAAATGGGGTTAATAGTCGTGCTTGCCATGTGGGTTGTTGAGGATTGAATGAAGGAAAATACTCAGACCCCTTGGGCCAATGCCTGGCACACGCCAAACCCCTGTAAATGTCACTGATGATGTCATGAGCAAGTGGCTCTGGTACAGGCTACAGGCACCGTGACGTGCCAGGTCGGGCGCCCGGGGCGGTGGGCCTCGGCTCTGGCCCAGTCCATTCTAGTAGGAGACCCCGAGGAGAGACCGGAGCCCGGGAGCACCGTCACCATGGGAGGGATGGTCCAGCAACAGGCCTGCAGGAGGAGGAGGAGGTGACTTCCTGAGGTGACTGCATCCCTCCGTGGCTGTGAACCGAGTCCCTGAGCAGGAACCACGGGTGCAGAGACTGAGGGGACCAGCGAGTCTCCCCCCAGCAAGGCTGCAGGGGCAGGTCCTGCTGGGCCCAGGGCATTCTCGGACAGACTCGCCCCACCACTGCCGTGCTGGCTGCCGCTGAGCAAATCACTGCCCCCCTCTGGGACGTGCCACCCTGTCTGTGAGAGGACATTGTTGCACAGTGGTGACCCCAGGCCACAGGCACATCCTGCATTCTTGCCTTGGCTTCCCACCGAGGGCCACTCCTTGTTCGTCTCCCGGTCGTGCCACTTGACACGGATACTTTGTACTTCGTACTTCCCGCGTGCCCAGGCCGTCGGCAGATGCCCACTGCTTTGTCTTTCCGTGGCTCAGCTCCTCGGGGCCTCCCGGAAACAGGGCCCAGGGCTCGGTTCTGCCCGCAGCAGCCGTCTCCCAGCCCTTCGGGTTTCTCGGCCTGCGTTCTGCCGCAGCTGAGCTGGCAGCACTGAGGCTGCTTGGGAGGGCGGTTCCCGGTCTCCCGGCACCTGCTCAGTCCCGAGTGCCCGGCAGGCGGGAATCTGCGTTGGCAGTGACTTGGCAGTGGGAGCCCGAACCCCGAGGCGGGGCCTGCGTGGCTGCTCTGCAGCCAGGCCGATGGGCGAGCACACAGCTTCCTCCGTAGCTTTCTAGAGAGCTCTGTCCAGCTTCAGAAAGGCGTGGGATGGGGGAAAGCCTGCATGGCTCTCAAACATTCTTTGCACCTAAATAAATTCAAACTTAAAATTTTAAAAAATTGTTTATGTATTTTTAGTTTGCCATAGGTATGTGCGCTTGCCAGAGGGAGACAGAAAGTGAGAAATCACCACAGGAGGATGGTTATGTCATAATCCCTTCTCCATTCTCCTCTTGGGGCTTTGGGCCTGCACAGGTGCTTGGCGTGGTTTTCAAGCTGCTGGGTCTGGGATTTAAAACTGAAGAGTCCTTATGTGGGATCCAGCTGCCTTAACCTCCATGCCACCAGCCGGCCCCATAAATTTGTACTTTAATTCTATTTTCTCCATGACCTTTTAAAAGTCTCCTTGTATATAAATATGTAACATAAATAACAATGATTTAAACAATACATAAAACTTGTGGTATCAAGATATAGTTTGAGACCAGCAGTTGGTATAATGGCTATGTCACTGGACACCCATGTAGTCGACTGCGGTTCGAGTCCCGGACCTGGTGGCTTAAACTCATGCCGGGCACATGTGCATGCATGCCCTGCATCCCGAGAGGAGAATGGAGGAGAAGGGATTGTGGCCATCCCTCCCAGGGAGGGGAGCGATTTCTCGCTTTCTGTCTCTCTCTATCTTTCTGGTGAGCTTATGTACCCTATAGGAAAAACTTCTCAAAAAAAAAAAAAAAGAGATAGTTCATTTATATATTATTTAAATAATGTAATAGATTAAAATTATTCATATTGTGTGTGTGTGTGTGAACATAATTTTCTTTAGCGGTTTTTGCCTTAGGGTGCATGCACTCTCTGGGGAAAGAGACAGAGATAGCGAGAGAGAAAGTGAGAAATCACCTCTCTGGGGGAGGATGGCCATGCCACAATCCCTTCTCTTCCATTCTCTTCCTGGTACCTTGGGTACGCATGCACACGCGCCTGGAGTGAGGTTCAAGTTACTAGGTCCGGAACTGGAACTAGGTGCCCATGTGGGGATCCAGGCTGTAACCACTGTGCCATCTGCTGGCCCCTGTGAATATCATTTTTAAGGGATGGGGCACAGATAGCAGACCCACATTTTCCTGGTCTCCCGGAGAAGGCTCTATTCCCTGGCAGTTTAGACTTTGCACTGTCCCCTGGGTGGGGGTGCCTTGGTATTGCTGTCCCCAAGCTGTGATGTCCTGCCCACTGTAGGCTCTGCCTGGGCCAGAATCACAGGACAGTCCCGGCGGTGGGCACGGCATCCCCCACGCTGAGACCCTGGCCTCTCCCTGCTGGCTCCCAGGTCCATCCCGAGAATGAAGACTGGACCTGCTTCGAGCAGTCTGCCTCTCTGGACATCCGGTCCTTCTTCGGCTTTGAAAGCGCCTTGGAGAAGATTGCCATGAAGCAGTACACCGCCAACGTCAAGAGGGTGAGAGCCGGCTGCGTGCACCACGGGGAGGACGGAGCACAGACCCGCTCTGCCACCCGGCAGCCCCGCGACGTCGGGCACCAGCCTTACTCTCCCTGGGCCTCAGTCTCCTCGTCTGTAACATGGGTGTCCTGGTGCTGCCTAGTCACATGGGACACGGATGGAAAGCAGCTGGCCTGTAATAACCCATTCCCGCCAGGGGCTTGTGCTGTGATTCCTCTGGACAGAGGAGGAATATTCTGTGGTGGCTTTTCCTAATTAAGATCGTCGCTGCTTGTCCAGTCACCGTGTGGGAGCCCGTTCGTGTAATGGGACAGGCGAGATGAATTTTCCTGCTGTTTTCTCCAGCGTGTTATCAGGAGACTTGTTACAGCCTCCGTTTCTCGGCGTGCACATACGGAAGCAAAGGGGATGGGTGTTTGCGCACCGCCTCCTTCAGGCTGGGCACACCGAGCTTTACTCCTGCGAGTTCCCAGCCTCTCCCGGCCTCGGTCTGTCTTCCTCACAGTAGGGATGGCAGCGACGCCCCTCATGGTGGCTCTGGGAGGCACTGCAAATCGGGCATGTATTTGACACTGTCGGCCCTTCCTCATTGCGACCGGTCCAGGGCTGTGTGCTGGGCTGGGACCAAAGCCAGGTGGGGGTGACCTGGGGCTGGTGCGGGGACTCTCCCCTCCTGCCCCAGGCTGATGTGTCTTGGGTCTCTGGTTCCAGGGGAAGGAGGTGATCGAGCATTACCTGAATGAGCTCATCGTACAGGGCACTGCTCACATCCCCCGCTGGACGCCTGCCGTGGTCAGTGAGGAGGGTGCTGG